ATTTTGAATCAGATAGTCAAACAAATATATTTGTATAATGAATATATAAAATTTGAACATAATCGGTCAAAGCATGGCAGAGATATGGCACTAGAACTTCATTCATTAAAACAAAATGGCTGCCAGTTGGCCATTTTAAATCCGATCTGAAAAACAAAATTACATGCATCAAGGTCCCATAATGTCCAACGTATGCACCAAAATCTATCCATAAATGCTTTAATGATTTTTCAGCACAAAAATGGTCGCCATTCAGCTATCTTGGATCAGGTCGTGAAACAAATTGATGTGCATATGTATAATATTTTGTATGATGTATGTGTGAAGTTTAAATGTAATCAGTCCAGGCATGTCTACGATATAGGTCCGAGCGCATGCACGCACAGACACGAACGTCAAACCATAAGTCTCAGTTTTTGGACTGCGTCCAGATGAGGACTAATAAGGTTATCATGAGGATACTGCAAAGTACAGACAGTACTAGTAGATGGTCGCATCGACCTTCGCTGTGCGCAGTCGATACTTCTGCTGTACTGTCTTCGTGTATACTTTGCAATATCCTTGTAATAACCTCATATTCTCAATATATGTATGACAACAACTTGGTCAATATTTAAAATTGTTCTTTCTTAACACACAAAATCTGTGACCTCATCACATAAGATAGAAACATGTTATACTTACCATACTACCGGGAATACCTTGTAGACCAGGGAATCCACGATGTCCTTTTGCACCCTAATAGGAATGAAATAATGTAAAATAAATAATATGTCAATATGTCTCCACAGAACTTACTTACAGAATTCCCATGTATTCTTTTTCTATTTGTGATATTGAAGTTAAGTAAAAAAAAACACTTACCCTTGCTCCCTGGATACCAGCATCTCCAGGAGCGCCAGCAATACCTGGTTCTCCCTGTCAAAATAACAACACAAAACTATGATCAATGTGTATACACAATTTTTTGAGCATTTTTATGGAAACAAGTTTATTTCTCTTCATCATCAATTTATATATAATAGATTGTTTTTACTTACGCTTGGACCTCTTGAACCTCTTGCACCTTCTGGACCAACTGGTCCGGATGGACCAGGATCACCAGTAGGGCCTTGAGGACCAGCTTCTCCAGATGGACCAGGAGCTCCCTGATAATGAATTAAATTATTAAGTGAAAAATTTACAAAAGAAAATTATACATATGTTGGTTGTATTTAAAAATTTGTTGTGGTAATGACATACTGTTTACAGTCATATTACATTTTAATGAAGGACATATATCTTGTATTATACCAGAGAATCAACAGAAAAAATTCTTAATAGAACAGATCTAGATAGCACCATTCTGATGATAGTAAGACAGGACTGTGTTGACTTACCATTGGACCAGACATACCAGCAGGACCAGGACTACCCGTATTACCACGATCACCTTTAATACCTGGACGTCCTTGGACACCTGGAATACCATCTTTACCACTCACACCCTGTGAATAATCAAGATTAGTTTAATTTGTGCTAGTAATATTATGTTGTTCATCCCCATATTACATCCACATTTGTATCAAATTCAGTGTTCATTTTACATTTAGAAATTCATATCAACTGTCTCTTAGAAATATATAGCTCATCACCTCTGGACCTTGATCTCCCCTTGGACCTTGTGGACCCAAAGGACCAGATGGACCAACTGGACCTCTCTCTCCAGAAATTCCAGGCAGGCCAGTTTTTCCATCTTCACCCTGTTGAAGATAATTTACATGTTAAAAAAGTGTATAGCATTTGATATATAATAAATGCATGAATCGTTTCTAGTATAATTATCAATATGAACATAGCAAATATCTACAACAAATATCTACCTGTGGACCTGGTGCACCTCTTGGACCTGATTCACCTTTTTGTCCTGGCATACCCTGAAACAATAAATAAAATTTTATTAATCAATAACATCCTTATAATGTTACGAATTATTTCCTGAATTCCTTGGATACCTATTAGTGAGACAGACACAATTCATAGCCTGTAATTCAGATCCAACATAACCAGCTACAGGAAGATTAGATGTGAAAAATATAGAAAAAAAGTGCAGCGATTGAAATACAATTTTTTCCATGCATGCATAGTGTGCATGTTGAATTTGAAATTTACCTGCACTAACATGTGAAATGCACTACTTTTAAAGTTTAAATAAAATTTACGGGTTCTCGATTGATGCTATCACGAAAAAATTGTTCACAATGTTGGTTGAACTTAATTTAGGCTTAGTGAATATAATGAGAAAATGTTGTTTCTACATGCACAGCGTGCACATTATATTTTGAGTTCACTTGCACTAGCTAATAATCTATGTGCATAGTGCAGTGTGCACCAGGGTATTTTGATCCCTGAAGTGTTAACAATGACATTCACACCAATGTTTTTCTCACTACTCTTGTATACCTTCAGGTAAAAATGATATTTACTCACCATTGAACCTCTGGAACCCTGTGCGCCTTGTGGACCTGGTAGACCTGGTTCACCCTGCAGTGAGACAAAATAATGGTAAGGATCATCACTAATTTCTACTACCAGTTGCATTTTGTCGTGCGCCTGAGTTTGAATCCTGCGTGTATGTGTGTATTTATAATTTCTAATCTGCCTGTACGTATATTATAGTCTATAAAACTAGTTTAGGCTTTTCATTTCACTTAAATTATCAGTAAATGTATTTATATGAGACTTTACTAAATAAAAAAAAGATTTGTGATTCTGAGATGTTCCAAAAAATGGCGCAGTGATGCGGTAATTTCATTATAATAATTGTTTGCTTGTCTTATGAGTGAAGGAAATTCAAACCGAATACAAATCTACTGAGAATGTCCAGGGAATGCATATTCTGTTTTGAATTTTCAGCACCTTGTTCATGTGTACTACTATCATGAAAAAACAACTTTTACGAATATTAGGAATATTTAATATTCCCACTACAAGTTTGTTTATTAAACATTTATTAAATAATAATTCTGAATGCATGCATTAAAGGTATAATTGAATCAACAATACACGCTTTGAAACCTTTTTTTTTATAACACAAGATTTAGTCTGAAGTACCCTTATGCTTCATTCAAATCTAAATAATAGGTCTTCAATGGCTATATTAAGTCATTTAGTAAGAGCCATTATCATCATTGCAGGTGTACATCTTTCAATCATTAGATAATTTACTGACTTGGATTCATAACAATGTTGTGATTGGTCAAGTTATTTTAACAGACATTTATGATTGTAAATGAAAAACAATCATATCAATCATTTAACAAAACTGACTTACATCTTTTCCATCTTTTCCTGCATCACCTTTTGGACCATATGGACCTTCTGGACCTTCGAGACCCTGATCACCAGGTCTTCCTTGTTCACCACTTTCACCAGGTTCACCCTGTGTTAGATACAATAATGATTGTCATATGAGCGGGTCTTAGCTGCAACACTATTTTATGATTGAATTTTACAGTCAAATATGAATATTTGCACTGTTCTCAAACAAGGAGGACATTTTCCCTCCTGATACCAGAGAAATGTTCTCCTGCACTTGGACAAATGTCCATATATGGTTGGAAATAAATCTTTACTAAACAGTAATAACAAAACAAGTTGTTTAATTTTTATAGTTACCATACAAATATGATAAAACTATACCCATCACCTTTAATATTTTGAAAAATATTTTTTGTCAATATCAATAGCTGATGTCAAATTAATTATTATTTATAAAACATTGCACCAAAAGTATGGCAAAATTATTTATGCATTAAAATAGGATGTCATGTTTTAAATCTCTGGGTGAGCTTTCAGGTATTTTCACTACCTGGCAACCATCGCAGGTTAAAACAAAAGCCAAAAATGGTACATTGGGCTAGTTGTTGAGACTCTCCTGAACATTGTAGCAAGACTACCCTACATGTGCAATTTAATTGTTCAGGATTATCTGAGTTTGGGCTGTTTACTCGACTTTAGCTGTTTTCTCCTCGACCAAAGTTACACGGTAGATCAAAACAAAAGTTATAAAATTATGTATGTTCCTATTGTAGTTTTTGTTTGTTTGAATTGAAACATCTTCATGAATAAATAATTACATTACCTAAAGCTTATCATTTGAAATTAAATGCAATATGTACGTCGTATAATTTATTTTACAACTCACCTTTGCACCAGCAGTACCTGGAGCACCAGCAGCACCCTTAGCACCAGCAGGACCCTATAATAAATGATAGATTACAGATTATTACCTGCAGATTACAGATTATTTCCTACAACCAATATAAAAGTGGAAAAACACAGGAACTTTCCTGTACAAAAGCTTTGCATAATGATATCATTACTCACAGTTTTCCAACGAGAAAGTCATTTTTCAGGCATACACCTTTCCTTTTCTCACTTTCATTAATATTTCAGACAATTACTCTGATCAACAATTTAGAAAACTTAATAATACTAACAATTCTGAGTTTTAGACCCTTTTTCTGGTATTGTCTACACCCCTCCTATACCATGTGTAATGATGATAAGTATAAACTTACAGTCGTTCCAGTTGCACCAGGTCTTCCGCCTGCACCAGCCAAACCTTGTGGACCCTGTGCACAAATGAATATTACTACATACAGTAATCACAGTGGTTAAACAAAGTGCTTTAGAAGGCTGTTAAACTCATTATAACCAAATCTGAGAAAAATTTGTAAAAAAAAAAAAAAGACCCGGAAATTAATGGAATTTAATGAAAGATGTGAATAATATGTAACAATAGTGAACTTACAGGTCGCCCAGCGGGACCTCTGTCTCCTTTTGCACCAGGAATACCTCTGGGACCCTATAAAGAATGAAATGAATATTAAGTATTCTTTTTATAATAGCAGTATACATTTTACTTGGATATTATATGACAAATCTCCAAAATATATCATGACCTTGATGTACATACATGCAGGTTATAGAGAAATGACCAGTGAAGTTCCAAAAAATAAAACTATAATACAACACACCACATGTGTTCAACATCAATATCATGTTCACAGTATGAACTTAAATTACTATCTGTTTAACATGAAAATTCACAAGTGGACTGCAAGTTTTCAAGCTACGTATTTAAGAAAAAATGCATTGAGTGCATATCAATGATCAATTGTTTGTAACAACAATCCATATCTTCACATGAAGGTTTGAATATGTCTTTTGTGAAAAAAAGTGGTTTCAGTATTTCAATACATGTCTAAATATCAATTATTATTATACATCTGTCACCGTAACACCATAAGTTGCAGCATGCCGTAATTTTGCTGTATTTTACGGGGTATTTTCATCCTACCATATTAGGAAATGCAATTTCCAAATATGGAATGATTACGTGCGTAAGCGTTCTCTAATAATAAAATCAAACATGGCTGCCACCAGGGTTTGACCGGACTCCATACAAAGAAGTTCGCTGATTCTGTTCTAAACTTTTTAGATTTCCGCATTCCCATGATGTATCCTTGGTAGGAAAAGATGTACAATAATAAGGTTATTACGAGGATACCTTAAAGTATGCACTCAGACAGTACACTGTACTGTCTTCGTGCATACACTGTACTGTCTTCGTGCATACTTTAATAATAACCTTATAATATTATAATTTCTAATTTGTATTTCTTTCTATGTTGAATTTCAGTGTATTTTAATTTTAGTGTGTCTTATTTTATTTGTCTTTTGTATTCATTTTACCTTACTAAACCCACAGATGGTTAAGTTGTGTAATAAAGTTATTATAATACACTTAGTCTAATTATATCATCTGATGGTCCAAGTAAAATTATAGTTTATAAACTACTGTAATATATTCTTGAGTAGTTTGGCATAAATACTGTATTTATAAACACACAATTAATATCCCATTTTTGTTTCATGAAATAATGAAACATTACTTACAAGAGGACCGGGATCACCACGATCACCTTGTTCACCAGGATCTCCAGAATCACCCTGTAAAAATAATAAACCAATGTTTGAGTTATCATGGATATAAGATATTGTTAATGATGTTGATGTCTACCTGTAAAACATCACTCACATTAACAGTAATTATGTTGAATATATACAAACAGCACATTTTTTTTGGTGTACATGTGTTTGAAAGATTTGGTTTTTATTTACATGTACATGCATTTGATTCCTCATCTAATGAAGAAAAATTTATATTCACAATAAGCAGCAATGGCAAAAAAAGATAAATTACCTACATTCATGCTGAAAAACAGTTACTTTCAGAGTAATTATGTTATATCATTATGAAACTATCATGTTCACAAGGTATTAATAATCATAAATATCATGTTTGTGCCAAAAAAAGAATGTCCACAAGGTATTAATAATCATAAATATCATGTTTATGCCAAAAAAAGAATGTCAACATTCTCTCTGGTGATGAAAAGTATTCTATTCCATTCTATTCTATTCTATTCTATTCTAGATGAACTTTTACCACTCACACCCTGTGAATAATCCAGATTAGTTTAAATTGTGCTAGTAATATTATGTTGTTCATCTCCATATTACATCCACATTTGTATCAAATTCAGTATTCATTTACATTCGTGTTCGTATTTGTGTTACACTTTATTTGAGAAAGAGAACATGTAACAGAGAACATTATTTCAAACAGCCAAAAACTGCACGTAAAATATTATTGAGATCTTAATTTGTCGTAGCAATCGGCAAATGTAACATACCTTAGCTCCTGGTTTACCATCTCTACCTGCACGACCTGTAGAACCTGGACGACCCTGAAATAAAAACAACAAAATGTAAGCTTTTAGACAGAAGGAATGCTTACATCTATCTATAGTTCTCCCATTTGCCCTTTGAGCCAACTCTAGTCTTCTAAACCTCAAAATAAATCCACATAATAATTTTTCTAAAACTTTGGTTCAAAATAACTAAAGAGTATAACGAAAAATAAAAACAAATTAGCAAAATTTTTCTGGCAAAATTCCAAGACAAAAATTATAATATTTAATTTAATAGTGTACATTAATTAGTGAATCATCCATTTAACTATTTAGTGGAATATAGTTTTTAAAAACCATTGATACAACTGAAGTGCCTTGTCATATGAATGAATAAAATTATAAAAATAATTCTTGAATTAATGGATTGAAAAATTGTACTTTACCTGTGGACCAGCTAGACCTTGAGGACCTGGTCGGCCTGCAGGACCAGTTTCACCCTGGAATGAAAATGTAATATCATGTTTATATCAATTAATCATGTTATTTATTTAATGTGATACAACACATCACATATACATGTATCATTCATATTTATGTCTTTATGCTATTTGTCATTATTCTACAATTTCAATAATATTAAACATAATATCATAATCATTGTATGTTATCAACATTACACATCATCATATCATATATCAATATACATGTATCAGTATATTATTATTATTATTATTAATATACACATTTACAGAAGAAGCCAAACAAAAATGTCATTGTCAATGACAAGTCCCCATCTAGTTTTTAGTGACTATCCACATTATTGCCAAATACTTATTTACACTCATGTGACAGACATGATACAAAGTGGAGCCAGTTTATTTGTGTGATTTCTTCTTTTATTCTGTCCATGACATTCATGTTTTTCTGACACGAAAATGACAATCAGTCCTCTTGAAACAGATTCTGAAATCAGATGCATGTGCAAATGATTTTCATTATGTATGTATAAAGTTTGAACATAATCAGTAAGTAATAATAATAATAGTAATATGGCTCCAAAAACAGATGGTTCTAATTCTGATGTTAATTCATATTAGTATGTTATACACTGAGCTTATATATCGCATCAACATATTGTATCATAAATCATATCATATCATATCAGGCCATATCATATCATATCATATCATATCAGGCCCTTGTATCATACACACACTATAAATAAACTTACAGTATCTCCTCTGGGTCCACTTTGACCCAATGGGCCAGGGGCACCAGTTTGTCCTTTTTCTCCTTGTGAACCTTGTGGACCAGAAATACCCATTGGACCCGGGCTTCCCTGAAAAAATGAATTAGAAAATAAAATCACAAGCCATGCATGGCACAGTTTCTGTTAGTTATCAAATCTAAGTTATAATGTTTTGTTTATAGTAATAATATATGTATAGTACATGTACTTGTCCATATTGCTAGATATTGCTCTGGAACAGCATTAATAAAAACAAAATGGCCACCTTTCGACCCTTTTGAATCAGATCGCAAAACCAATATACATGTATCTGTATATCTATGATATAAAGTAAAATGAATATTTAAAATTTGAACATAATCAGTCAAAGCATGTTCGAGATATGGTACTAGAACCACACTCATTAAAACAAAATGGCCACCAGTCAGACATTTTGAATCCAAACTGAAAAAAAAAATGGCGTGCATCAGGTACGCATAATGTCTAATGTATGTACCAAGTTTGAACGAAATTCATCCATAAAAGACCAAGATCCAGTTCAATCTTTCAATCAGAAATGCTTGATTTTTCTTTGATTTTTTAGCACAAAAATGGCCACCATCTGGCCATTTTAAATTAGATTTTGAAACCAATGCATCCATATATCTATGAGATGATGTATAATAAATACTTAAAATTTGAATGTAATCAGTCGGAGCATGTCTGAGATATGGAACTCGAACTGGACTCATTAAAACAAAATGGCCACCAGTCAGACATTTTAAATCCTGTCTGAAAAATGAAAAGATGTGCATCAAGGTCTCACAATGTCCAATGTATGTACCAAGTTTGAACAAAATCCATCTGTAAACAACCGTGAAATGATGATTTTGATGATTATTCATTACTAAATTGGCTGCCATTCAGCCATCTTGAACTAGATCGCGAAACAAATTGATGTGCATATGTATATTATCATGTATGATGTATGTGTGAAGTTTGAATGTAATCGATCCAGGCATATCTAAGATACAGGGTCGGATGCACGCACGCACAGACACATGGGCACGCAGAGGTCAATCTATAAGTCCCAGTTTTCGGACTGCATCCTAACGGGGACTAATAAATCCCAGAAAGCAAAACACTGCATGCAATTGAAAGCAAATCACAATGTAAGCTGTAGTGAACCAAATACAACAGTATAGAATCTTACTCACCCTATCTCCAGGTTTACCAGGAGCACCTGTTACTCCCCTCTCACCAGTTTCACCCTGTTGGTTTAATAAATCAGTGTAGGTATTAAACAAAGAAAAGCTAGTGGTGATTAGAGGATGTACACAATTTTTCACTACTGTCTCTCCTGACTTTTTTGATCTTTTGTACCCGGTACCAATTGTATGTGTTGCAAACTAGTCTCCCATTACCTAAAACTGCATGTTTTGAAGGCAGGGCAGTCTGTACTTGAATTTATACTGCTGAGTGATCAATTGGTTCTGGGAAGGAAA